AATAAAATTCACATATGAGTTAGATAGTAGAGGTGTCACTACTATTTCAATTGCTTCTTTGTCTATAACACTTCAACTAGAAACAGAATGAAAGTCAAAGAAATTTATTTGATTTTTACTTAAACATTTATCTTACATATGGGTAAAAGAGTTCTAATTCTTATGGAAAGAGAAAACGTAGTTGAGAAGTCTAAAAGAGAATTTATGAGGAGAAGCTAAATCTCAATAAGAGTTCAACACTTTAGAAGAGAATATAAGAGAGAAATGTTGAATTAGTTTGATAATAAAAAGGAGAGCCAAAACGAGACAAGTCTCTTATGATTCACCGTTCACATAAATTACTTAAACAGGAGTTTGGTTGGACATTTGGAGGAAGAAAAGAAACATACAAAAAGATAGCATTGTCTTTCTCATGACTTTTAAGCTGCCAAATTGAAGCATCTAATTTTACTAATTGTTGTATTGAATAATTCATGTATGTGATAATTAATTATAGACAAATCAAAGAACATGAGATTTCATAAAATGTTCATGTATAAAATTAAAAAAGAGTAATGTTAGATAGACTTAAAATGTAGACTTAAAAAATTTGGCGATTAATTATCAGTGACCATTCATCAATAGTCACCACATTCTAATCATGTATAAATCTTGTTTGCTCGAATTCGTGACATATTTAATTGCGTTCGTATCTAACTTAATCATTAAGTGATTCAATACATTGATTTTTTTATGATCAAACATTTTAAGGTTAAATTTATATCTTTTAATTTTATATTAAAACCATATCAAAACAAGCAGTCGTGTTCTAAGTAAGTAAATTTTCTCTATAAATAAATAAGAAAAAATATTATATAATTCAAATTTTTATTTGAAATGAAGGTGATCATTGGATGAGTGGGTCCCATTAATTTTTTTAAATAAAATCCATTAATTTAATAGTCATCTTTCATCTGATATGTAAATTTAAATTACACAACATTGCTCATAAAAAAAAAAAAAAAAAAAAGGCGTAACGTAGCCCTGATTTGATTAGTTTCACAAAAAAATGAAGCCTAATAATAGTTAATTGCCTTCACAGAAAAATTAATTATAAAAAGGCAGTGGTGGGCAGACAATTGAGGGAAAAAGTCAAAAAAAAAAAGGGCTACGAATACGTCACACGTGAAATCCTGGAATACGTCAACACGTGATATCATGGAATGCGACACAAAAGGATCGTTTTCTTGGATTGCATAAGTGACGTCTTATACCGTACCAAAAAACAAACGGAACGTCTTAAATATTTTTTTAATGTGAGTTAGCAGAAAGGTTTATTAATTAGTTATATAAATTTTTAAAAAAAAATGGGTGCCAAATTAAAAAGACATGGTGGTGGTAACCCAACTTTATTAAATATGATTTATTTATTAAATGGGTTAATCGAGCATATTATATAACCTATTTAATTAACGACACGTGTTTGGTTTATAGATTTTTACTCATTTACTTATACAAATAGAATAATTTTTCGCAAAAACTTGTTTAGACCCATATTGTTAACAGAAAAGGCTGGGGTACCATACTTCTATCATTTTAGATTTTGAATAGGATGATTTGTAATCTTTGATTGAATAAATAAAAACATTATAAAAAAACAAAATTGTAAACTTTAGCTGACAATTGTATCACTTGATAATGATAAATTTTACGGCCCAAATCCTCACCATAGCTAAAAAAAATGGTGATTAGATCAGCAAAATTTATACATAAAAACTCTAATTTTACCATCTCCTTTCCCATTAGAAGAAAAATTAATCTTGTATAACACAGCATTCCAAACTAAAGTAAAATAATTAACCCTATACCCACATCATCATCCCTTTTATTCGTTTCATCGTCTTTCTCTCTCTCACTCACTCACTCAGGCTCTCTCTCTCTCACACACACTAGCATGAACAAATACAGTTTTCCTTTGGAATTAACTAATTCGTGAGTGATCTACAAGCACATAATTCGCACGTGAGTGGGTGGAAACGAATTAAATCGTATCCCTGCTAATCTTTTAACTTAATTTATGATGTTTTTTGCATCAAAGAATTTGCGCACCATGTTGAATCCTTCAACTTCATATTTGATTTTTTTTTTTTTAAGGCAAGTATTTGATGTTGTGTGACTCCAAACTTGATAGTTGAATTAAAAATTTTGGGCTCAGATATAGACAAAGGTAGAGTACTCAAGTATACACGGCAAGTAAAGCCGTAAGAGACATTCTGAATGGCCAGTAAACATTTCTTTGTCTGTGGTAGATAACAATCAAAAATTGAGAACTAAGACTCAACCTAGGTTAATTAATCCAAATGTAACGAGCCCAAGTGGAGTGAATCCATGCTGTGGGTATTATCTCAAAAAACCAATCTGTAATGTAGGGTTTCAAAGAATCAAGGCTTAATGTTAAGGAGTAAAACCCCAAAAAGAGAGAGAGTGAGAGAGAGAGAGAGTTTTCTAACATGCACCGTTGAACTCACTGGCATTTATTTTTTTTTATTTGGAGGGGAGGGGAGTAAGTACCTTTCAAAGTCAGTCACCCAGCTTGCCAGTACTGTTCCATTGACGACGAGAGAGAGAGAGAGGCTTTTCATCCAGCTTACTCCCCATGGAAGCCTTGTATTTATGATCTTTTCTAGCTAACTAGGAACCGTCATTAAATCTCATAGTTAGCCAAATTCTGTCTAACTTCTAACTAATAATATCTCTTATATACCAACTCCCTAAGCCATTGAGGTCGAAACCCAATTTTGGTACGAATTGAACTGGTCTGCTGAGCCATGATCAATCTAATGGTTAACCGGTACAAAATTCTGTGTAACTTGTGTGGAATAGCATATATTATATAGATATATCAACTCTTCTAAGCCATTAAGGTATGAATCTAGTCTTGACCCATTGTCCTTAGATTGGCCTATTTTCAGTCCACCTCTGGTGCTCAATGTTTCACTGGCAGCATCAGACCCCAAACCCTAAAGAATTTACATTTCCATTTCAGCCTAACAAATTTTCATTTCCATTTGCTTTGACAAATTAAGAAGTGAAATTTCTAATGAAAGGAACTCTCACAAATATGCATATCAAAGTCATCTTCCTCTTCTTTCCCAGGACACAGCCAGCAGGTAATAAAGCACACTTGCACCCTTATACTTATTTTGAGGACGAACACTATCGGAACAACCAGCAGGTAATAAAAACACAGTTGCACGTGAATTATTTTGAGTTGTAATTTTAATTTTAATTTTAATTTTTTATTTCTATTTTTAGATTTATTATTCAAAATTTGAGGTGTTTAATATGTGTGTGTTGATATAATTTTAGGAAAGACAAAAACTTAAACGGAACATATGCATTCACCAAACTGCATTTCTATTTTAACAATCCAATTTCTCACATGAACATCCCAAACTCTTATCGAATATTAATGGGCATTTTATTCTATTTTTATTATTTTTCTATTGTAGTCTCCAAGTGACATGGTGGCTTACTAAATGATGACATCATCTCAAGCCAACTTATACATTACAAAGATTTGTGGTGATTTGCAAGACCGCGCTCAACAATTTTCAACTCTTGTGAAATTTAATATTCATCCATATATGCATTAGTATATATGTTACACAAGTGTGCCATCAACATTATAGTGTCACTAGTAAATAAGAGATTATATATATATATATATATAAATATTATAAAATTACTTGCAAACAAAAACCAATTTGAGTTGAACCAAATTTATACGAACCATGTTGTTGGAAGGCTCTTTGCTTTCTTTGTCTCTTATTGAGGCTGGATTCTGCTGAAAGTACCAGCTCAAGACTGACACTTTCTTTAGAATTCTACACTCTTGGTTAGTTGTAAATCTTTTGGTTCTATTTTTGTGAGCATCACTCTCTGTATTTCTCCTTCTTATGAATATATTTACCTTCTGTAAAAAAAAATTTATACGAACCGAGGAACATGGTATTCGGATACAACTCGTTTACCAAAACACTATATAAATTTAATTAAATTTGATTAAACTAGCTGGTGGAAAGTGCCAAATTCTGTCTCCACTCTGTAGAACAAGTACTGTATGTGTTACTTTGTTCAGATTGACTTTTTTTTTTTTAATTATATTTCCGACTTAATTAATTACATTTCCATCCTATTCTCTTATCTCTATTTATCCCCTAATCTTTTTGAGTTGTTTAGTAGCATTAGAGAGAAAAGAATAATATAAGGAGGAGTTAAAAGAATACAAAAATGGAACTCATGTGTCTCTAATTAATTGGGGATTAAAATACATTAAAAGAGCAAATATACTGAGATCGAATTCTTAATCAGTCAGACAGAACATACTAGTCGGTGGTAAAAGTACTGAATTAAATAGAAGACACGTAGCCCAACAAAATTATTAATGTAGGTAAGCAGGCAACTAAGCTATCCGGTGGACAAAAGCAAGAATTGCCATAGCCAGGGCCAACTTGAAGGCCCCGAAAATTTAGATTTAAATGAAAACATAGGAAGGTTTTTAAGCCAGAGATTATCCGGGAGGCGATCCACAAGCAGAGGATTATCCGGTATAGCCGTCGTTTGGATTAACCGCCGGAAAAAGGATTAGCCGGTTTTTGCTTGGATGAACATTACTCAAGTTGAAATGAGGACTTTTCATTTCCATTTGCTTCGAGTTTCGACAAAGAAGTAAAATTTTGGACAAAAATAACATATTTCATTCACCTGATTCCCAAAAAAACACAAACAGACGTCGCCGGCAGTCAAACCTTCCACCGGCCGGTGACACATTACACCGCTCTAAACCCAAACACTTACTTTGATAATCATACATATATTTCAATCATCTCAGTCCCCAAAAAAAAAAAAAAGAAAGACACACACAGAGAAACAGACAGACGCCGCCGGCAGCCTAACCTTCCACCGGCCGATCATACATTAATACACCACCCTAAACCCACATACACGTACTTTGATATCTAAAGTCGTGGCCAACCTATAACCTTTCCAAACAGTTGGACACGCACTTCCATGACATATTCATTCCCATGACCTAGGCGATACATTCTTATTTTCTGAACGACTTTAAGCTCTTTGGCAACTGCAAAAGCCTTCCAATCCTGGGTCAAAGAACGCCTCCCACTCCTCCTTTTTGGGGCTCTAAATCGATATGGTATTCCGTCCACGTCCCGGACGATCAGGACTCCATTGCTGGCCGGTAGATAAAGTGCCTTGTTCGACAGTTCAAAGTTCCGTTTCACATCTGCATTCGTGAGGGTTTTGTGGAAGCTCAGAAGTTCAGGTTCCATCACTGCATGCAAAGTGCAAACCCTGCAGAAAAGAAAATGGATTAGTACTAATTCTTCAGTTGGAATAAATGAAGATCAAAGGAATGAAGTGTGTCACTGTTTCCCTCAGAACTTTGTTTATCTGAAAGGCGAGAGTAACACTCTTCATTGCTGCTTCGTGTGTGTATGTGCTTGTGAGAGAGAGAGAGTGAGAGAAAGAGAGAGAGAGATACTTCACAGAGCTCTGAGAGAGAGATAGAGGAGGGGTTTCATATGTAAGAGCCGAAATGGGATTAGTGCTCATCAGAGGTTCCTTTGATGCTCCGGCTGAAAAGACCTACTACACCCACCCTTTGTTTTTTGGGTCTGTTCTTCACGAATCTCAGAAGTCAGGCCGCTCATTCTCTCTCCTTCCCTTTATTTTCCTCTCTCGAACAGTTTAAAAATGAATTAAATATTTTAGAGGTAAAATTAATAAAATTAATATTTTAAAAATTAAAATAATAAAAAATATATACTTTAAAGACCAAAAATATTCGTAACTCTTTTTTTTAATAAGTAATAATATATGAATTTAAAAAGTAAACTATAGTCAATTCTCGTCAACTCGGTAGTTTGTTTCAACACGTCTCTGTGGATCTTATAGTTGTCCAAGCAAAGCAGCACTTGGGCCATTATTGAGTTGGAAAGTATTTAGTTCTCAGTTGGAAGAGGTTTGGAAGTTATTCATTTGAATCAAATATATATTTTACAAATCTCACTTTGTCATCTCCCAATATGTCTATTCTAAAAGTGTTCAAACTAGACTACGCTATCCAAACATCAATACTTTCAAAACAACTACCTCACAATATTTCTATTCACAAACTGCTGGATTGTTAAATAATATTCATTTCTAGGAGAGAGAGATACTTCACAGAGCTCTGAGAGAGAGATAGAGAGAGAGAGAGGGGGCTTCATATATAAGAGCCGAAATGGGATTAGTATTAATTCTTCAATGTCTCTACTGTTCAGGAGTGGTGCCTTTGATGTCTGATTCTTAGTCCTTCTTCGAAATGGGATTAGTATTAATTCTTCAACTTCTGTACTGTTCACGAGTGGTGCCCTTGATGTCTGATTCTTACTCCTTCTACTTCCGTTTTCTTCACGAATCCTTTTTTTGGGTTTTGTCGTTTGAAGTGAATCTGTGTGCCCCATTCCCACCTTTGGTCCAAGAACAATTATGTAATTGAAGTGAATCTTTGTGTACCCCATTCCCACCTTTGGTCCAAGAACAATTATTTAATTGAAGTGAATCTTTCAGACTATATCATATATCCAACACGTCATCATTTTAGTAAAAATGTAATAGTTTGTCTACGTAAAGAACTATTTTGAGACGAATTAAACACTTTAAGAACAAAATTGATAATTTAAGAGTCAAAATGTTAAAAAAAATATATACTTTAACAACCAAAAATACTAATAACCTTTTTTTTAATTAAGGTTAGTAGCAGACTTGTAGCCAATTCTCCTCAAGTAGGTCCCTCTCATCTGTTGTTTTTCAACATGCTTCTGTCGATCTCAGAGTTGTGCAACCACTACTTGGTCTATGGCGCCTCAGTTGGGAAGGCACCATAGACTTAATGTGGCCTAAAAGAAAGAATATACCTTATTAAAGATAAAGTGAATTTGGCCTTGATGACCCAGTCACTTGTTGCTTCAGACCCCTGGACACCTTTTTGTGGGCCACTTTCTGACTCATCGACAAGAGTGACCACATTCATTTCAGAAAAGTCCGTCGTTCCAAAAAACAAAATCAGAAACGTCCATGCCAAACCAAATCATGAATAAATCAATAGCTAGACTGTTTGAAAGCGCACATGACAAGGGCCCAGCTGTAGTATAAATCTAACTCCACAACTGGGATTTAAAGCGCACTTGACAAAGGTGTTCACCCTTTCGTTTCTACCACCCACAGTATCACAAACCACATATAAACATTATCCACATGGCATCACATAATAAGTATGCTTGTATGAGTGCTTAGACATGTTTGAATAAATATATCTCCAAATTTCTCTCAAATGATTTAATTTAAACCACTTAAATCATACTTTGCTAATTACTCATTTTACATAGGCTAGATTGGAATTCACCTCATAATAATGTATTTATAACAATTTAATCCATAGAGAATTGATTCAAACCCAATTAGATGTCCCGGAAAGAGTTGGGGTTAATCGGAAAAAGACCCAGATCACCGCTATTAAACATTCCAAACTTTACTCTAATGAACCAGTTCTTCGTTTGCTTTCAGCATAGAGCCTAGCTTAACTAAGAATTAGGAAATAACCAACAATAAGTTTATATTGTTCTAGAACCTGGACTATGGGATTTGTAGGGCCCCCACAAGCTAATGGCAATGGACCTTGTTTCTTCTTTATATCTTTTTTTGTTTTTTTGTCTTAATTAGCACGTGACAAAGCAATATCTTTTGTGGTTAGCTCTTTGACAATTGCGATTCCTTCAATTAGTAGAAGATTAGAAACAAGATACAGGAACTTGATCATCCTGATTTTTTATTTGTTTAAATTTCGCAAATGAAACCAATAAGAACTTTGTTGTTGACTTGCCATATTCATTGTGGACTTAAAAAGTAGATGATTATAGTTTTTGTTTTAAATTTATATCCTAGAATTCTGACAACACAACATTCATGTGAACATGAAGTTGATTGTGTTTTCTTGTTTGGCAGTATCTTCAATTCATAACTTATATCTAGGAATACACAGCCTGACTTCTTTTTGTGTATAAATTATTTTTATTCGTAGTAAAAGATAGTAAAATAATTCAACAAAAAGATAACAACTAATAATCCAACTTCAACTTCATATAATCCTAGACCCTCTACATATCCTATTCTATTATAATATAATCGTTAATCTCTACAGATCCCAATATTTTGAATTTTCGTTTCCATTTTTTTTAACAAAAAAGAAAATTTTATTTATGAACAAAATAGAGATTACAAGAAGCAAAAGGAAAGACAACACACTGCCTTCCCTCACAACACAAACCAAACAAACTTTAAAAAAACCAAAAAGAACTTCCAGCTTGCAGCAGAAAATAAATCCCAGCAAAAACCGCCATAGTTCCCAGTAGCATAGCAAAATAGCGTAGCAGCCCAGATACCACTACTCGACAAAACTCCAACACAGCTCAAAAAACCATCCCAGTATATATTCCTCAGTCATAATCATCAAAAACAACTCCTCTTTCTCCTTATCACAGGCAAAAGATCTAATCAAATGTATTGATCTAATAATGTGAAAGAGATACAGTCCAATAGTATTATTGGAACTGCATCACTTGAAACATCGTTAGAACAACAAATTTGGTAGTGAAGATTAGAGGGGTCGCCAACTTACAGACATTCCAAAGAGCTTTACATCCACTTCTACCGAGTATTCATTCCCTACGCGATACATTCTTAGTTGCTGACCGGCTTTAAGATTTTTTGCAGCTGAAAAAGCCTTCCAATCTTCGGCGAGAGAACGCCTTCCGCTACGCCTTGTTGGGGCTCTAAGGCGATATGTTGCTCCGACCAGGTCTCGCAAGATGAAGACTCCGTTGTGACCCGGTAAATGAAGTGCCCCCCTGGGCACTTCCAAGTTCCGATCCACATCTGCACGCGAGAGATATTTTTGAAAGCACAATTGACGTTCCATCTCTCAAAACCTGAAGAAAAGAATATGGTTACTATTAATTAATTTCTCATTGGGGATAATAAGATACAACTTAGAAGCATAAGCTAACAATGAGCTAGGTCTGGTTCTCTCAGAGAAACACACTTCATTTCTGTTCTCTGTGGGTGGGAGGGAGAGAGAAAGAGAGAGAGAGAGAGAGTTACTTCACTCTTTCGCAGAGCTGTGAAACCAGACTCTTAGTTGATCGGTATTTGTCGTTGATGACCGTGGGAGGGGGGGGGGGGGGGGGGGGGAGAGAGAGACAGAGAGATAGAGTTACTTCCCCCTTTGGCAGAGCTGATAGCTGATGGGTATTTATCTTGGATGAGCGTACAAGTTGCGAGGATATAAACTTGCTTCTGGTTGGTACAAGGTGTGAAACCATCTTTTTTATCCAAGAGAACAATGGAAAATAATACTCACGTATGCCACATCAAATAGTTAGAATTAAGAATATATTAACTTCCCTTAACACTCATATTTGGATACAACCTAGTTATAGCATTTTATACTTTTCAACGGCACATAAGAATTGCGTTTTTAATTATCTCAGACTTTATTTAACAAGTGAATATTAGCTGTAATGGAGATATCACGTTATTATTGTTACGAATTATAAAACAATTAATAAGATTAGTGAACTCTCCTATTCTAACATGACTGAGGTAGTTATTAATACTTAATAAAAAAATGGAACCCATTAAATTTATTTGGTATTCTATCACTATCATCCAATATTTTTCCCTGTTTAACCCAACATATTTGTTCTGATAGGTAGCGGGAGAGACCGGAGCCACCACTCCATATCCCCCAACTAAACCAGAAACCTCAACCTTAAGAAGTGCAAGAATCAAAGCCTAGAGACTTTCTTGAAGACAACCTTTGAACATTTCAATCACAAACCAAAAGTCCTGGAGAAAGTCCCTCTCTCCATGGCACCACCAATGCCCTTCCGACTCAAAAACTCTGAAACTCATAAATGTTATTAATTATTGAGACATAATTTAGGGATATAATTTGGAGATATAATAATTATGGGTATTAGATTATCAAACGCACTCCACTACGGTCTACAGTCTTGGAACTGGCTGTGTCTGCTCAAACTATGGTCTTCAACCAGGCTGCTTATCAAGCATGAGATTAGGAATGGTCAATCAACTAAGCTTTGGTATGATAATTGGCATCCAATGGGTCCCCTGGACTTATGTGTTGGTATGAATGGTATTGATAATTCTCTGTTCAATTTGGAGGAACCTGTCAGCAGTGTTATCAACAATGATCTTTGGCAATGGCCACTTTTCTCCATCCCTCCTCACGATGTGGTCACTTTCATGCATTCCTATTTTCCTAACTCTGCCCTTGAGGACTCTGTCAAGTGGATCCCTAATCGTCGACTGGGATTTAGCTCCTATTCTGCTTGGAATCATATCAGATCAAGGGACTCCCCTGTCTGTTGGTATAAGCTTGTTTGGTCAAATAGATCCATTCCTAAGATGAGTTTCATCCTGTGGCTTGTTCTTAGGAACAGGCTGAGTACTTTTGACCGCATGCAATCCTTTGCTACTCACCTTGGTGTTGGATATATTTTATGCATGACCTCTCTCGAATCTCACTCTCATCTTTTCTTTGCATGCCCTTACTCCTCTAGTGTTTGGTTTTCTACTCTCTCATTTACTGGGGAGTTATGGCAGCCTATGCCTTGGAATGACTTTGTTGCTTGGGTTGCTCTTAACTAGAAGGGTAAGTCAATCAAGTATCCGATATGCAGACTCTGCCTTGCAGCCACTGTTTACCACTTGTGGATGGAGAGGAATAATAGAAAATTTAAAAACCAATTTAAGGACTCATTTTCTATTACCTATTTAATTCTACAGACTGTGTGGAGTAGATTAGCTTCCCTTAATTTCAAGTCCTCTTATAGAAATCTCCACACTATCCAGCATTGGAGACTCCCAACTAGTTGCCTCACCTAGTTGTTTTTCTTTGTGGTTTCCCTGCTGGTTCCCCTGTTGTTTTCCCCTTTTTTGGACTCTGCTTTGTTGGTCCTTTGGCATTTCAGTTGTCCTGTTTTCTTGGGTACCATGGTCTTATTGATCGTGCTGATAGGTGGTGGGTTCTTACATATACTACTCTGTCCTTCATATGCTATTGGTTTGTGGTAGCTGGGCTTCTTTTTGTGGCTGTGTGTTTTGGATGGCTTTACTGGATTATGGTTTCTTTCACACATTTGGCTTGATTGGGTTTTCTGTAGAAGCATTTCTTGGGTTCCTTGGTTCTCTGATCGAGCTGATGGGTGGTGTGTTCTTACGCATGTTCCTCTGTCCCTCATGTGCTGTTGGCATAAGGCTACTGGGCTTCTTTTTGTGGCTATTTGTTATGGATGGCTGTTTGTTATAGCATTACAGGAATATGGTTTCATTCACACATTCAATGGCTTTCTGTAATGTCTATGTCGTTCATTCATACATGTCTTACATTCATTTTTACATTTTCAGTTTGTATCTGTGCTATCCTGGGACTGTGGTCTTCTGCTCGATGCTCTGATGTGGTTTCTATTGTTTTGGGCATTGTTCACGTCACTCCATGCTGTTGTTCTTGTGTGCGGTTGGGTGCTCTCTGGTTTCCTGTGGTGGACCTTCTAGGCAATGCCGTTGTATCAGATGAAGCATTTTCTTGGACGGCTCAGGACCACCTTCCTCAAGCTATCTTCTCTATTTTTCTTGCGGACCTTTGTATCACGATGATCGCACTTCCTTACCTCTTCTTTGTCTCTCTTGCGCTTCATGGTGGTTTTTGCTGTTCTCTGAGGGTGCATGTGCTGCTTTTATGAAGGTGTCTAGCCCTTCATTTCTTGGTCCTCTGTTCTTGCGCTTGTTGGAGGGATATTCTGCATTTTTCCCTAATGGTTCGTTCCTGCTTTTATTGGCTGCCTGCAACTTCTGCTTCAGCATTGGGTTCCTGAGTTTGGGCTGCACTGTTCACGTCACTATTCACGTGACTGTTGGTGATTCAGCTGTCCTTCTTCTACTGGTTTTAGGTTGTTGGCTTCTCTTCTGTTGGACCTATTTTCTGTTTTGGGTTGTTGATCGGACCCTCACTCCTTCTCTTGTTTTTGGATTGCTAGATTTCTTCAGCAGCTAGTCCATCTGATCTGACTGGGTTCCATCTGCTGGTTTTATTCATATAGATTTCCTTTTTTATTGTTCATTAGGGCATCTCTTGTCCGTTTGTCTACTGTATTCGTTTGTAAACAATTCTGTGGGAGATACCTTCAATTTTGGCATCTCTTACAGAATTGTGTCTTGAAGCGTTGACTTTTTGTTTTGGCTTTGAGTCCTACGAGACCTCACTATACATTTTGTTCTCTTTAATACATTTATTTTTCGAAAAAAAAAATAGTCACAATACGTAATGTTTTCAAACATTAATATTAAGTTTTAACCACGGAGAGAAAGATTGGAGTGTTATCTAGTTGTCCAAGTGATCCAAGCTTTTAGGATAGGGACATGCGAATGGGCCCACTTGCCAAAGCTTCAAAGTTCAGCGTGAGCTAGTAGTCCAGCAGCATAATCTTGCCCCACATGTGGAAATCTCGAAATTATCTTAGGCTGACTTCTAATTCAAAGATTCCTAGTTGAGGCGTTGCACATAACTTCGAAGGGACTTGTTCAGCCCCTATCTAATGCACAGTAGATGGTAAAACGGTTTCCTATAGGTTCTGGCTCCTATAAAATGAGAAACAAACTATATAAATAGCTCCCAAAAAGAAGAAATCGAAGATGGTTGCAACTTGTTGAACCAAGCTATCGTCGACCCTTTGAGGGTTATGGCAAAATCTTGGCACCGAATAAGGTTTGTATATTTGTGTAGTTCCATTTAACTTTTGTACGAGTTCAAGTGATCCACTGGATCTTTGGTTCCATCGAATGTCTCTATCTACAGCATCCTAAACTTCTGAGGATGGGAAAAATGGAGGATTTCAGAGGTGAAAAGTGATTCGGTTTGCTGGACTGAAATGTCCATGGTGACAGGAGCTTTCCCTTTAACCACTCTTTCGTGTTTTCGAGCTCCAATTGGATCTCATAAAATTTTTGCTCCCAAAAATGGTTCATGGCTTCATGCGGAGGCAGGGGTTGGTCTTCCCTAGGTACGGCTCTGGCCCGACTATGGGTTTCATCATCTGTGCGTTCATCTGGCTGCCTCCGCTGGTGGTTTTCCCCTGAATGGCTATGCTCATGGAGGTTTATAACTCTATTGGATGGTATATGGTAGTCCTGATGAAGAACATCATTCTAGGCTGGAGGTGGTGGTGGAGGTGAAGCTAGGGTTGTTAGTCGAAGGAGCTTGAGCCGAGCTTGAAAAGCTTGTTTCTTAATTGAACTTAAAATTGTTCAAGTTCGGCTCACTTAGGAAACGAGTCAAGTCTGAATGAGCCAAAAATAAGTCGAGCCCGAGTATTTGTATATAAACGAGTCGAACATGTTGAGTTTGAGCCGAGCTTGTAGGACTTATTTTTTAAACGAGCCTAATAACACTTTCAAGTTCGGGATCGTTAAGAAATAAACCGAGTCTGAACGAGTCGAACTCAAGCCAAACTCAAGTAGCTCAGTTTGATTAACAACCCTAGGTGGAGCAGGCTGTATAGACAAAGCCTGTAGATGATGTGCGTGTATCCACGCCAATAAGTCTTGCTTCTGCTTCATGAGTTGCATGGTTGTCCGCCGGTAAGTCTCCAATTCGTTGAGAGGTGGAGGGTCTATCGTCGGAGGAAAATTATCAATGTCCGCTACTGAGGCAGGGAAACTCTCTGATAAAGTTGGTGGAACTTGGGAGTTTGCGTGAGATATGCTCATATTTCGAGTTGAAACCATAACACTAACAAATGTACAAGAAAAACTCAGATGAAATAATGAAAATCGTTTCTCACAGACGGCGCCAAGCTAATAGTGCTCGAAAATACTAAACCCAAGTCTAGAACAATT